GGACGGACCCTCGCGGCCGCGCTCCAGCGGCTGGGCTTGGCGGAGCGAACGGAGCTCACGCTTCACCTGGTAGGAGCGGACGCTACGAACGGGGCTCCTGACCCAACCGGGGCTCACCGGCGCCGGCCCCCCAGTAGAGTCGTCGCCGTCGCATCATCCCGTGAGTCGTAGCGGCTGAAGTTGCATGAGAGGTGTGTTCCATCAAAATAAGAGCGGTTCCACGCAAAACTGACGCTGAATGGCGATTGATTCAGGACCCGATCGTCACTGAAACGCCACGAACAAAACCGTCCATTTTAATTTTGCACAATTTTGCCAGACTGGCGTACTATACAATTTTCCTGTTTGACCACAGAATACACCGTATGCTGCTTGAATAGCCGCTAGTTGGACCCACAGAGTGGTCTAAGTCAAATAGCTTCCCATAAATCCTCTCCAAGTCGCCATTGCACAACCCCTGTCCCCTTTTTCAAATGGGTTTTGGACCCTCCAGGCGCCCAGTGGCGCGAGGAGGGTGGAGACCTTGGCAGCGTCCTGGGGCTCACCGCGGAGCCGCTGCTGGCGTCCCAAGCTGCGCCCGGGCTGAGCGTGCTGCGGATTGGACTGGCGGGTCCAACGGCCTTGGATTCGGTGAGGTCGGTGGGGAGATGGGTTTTCTGCGACGGAATGGCTTGCAATCGACGGACGGATGGTTGGTCGATCTTTGGGGAAGATGAACGCTGCCGAAACCTAAGCAGGCCGCAACCCTGACAGGGGCTGATGATTTCAACTGGTGCATGTTTAAATGGGTAATGTTCATAGCAGCAAAGAGTGTTTTAAATCGATGCTGAACTCAGGGTTGATCCTGTGAAGCTTGCTTTTGGCTGCTTTGCTTGCAAGTTCTTGTACCAAGCCATGGGCCATCACAGCCTGAACAGGAGCGAAGATTCACGCGATGCTTCTGAGATGCTGGGAGACCTGCAAGTGGAGATCCGTCATCGTGCAGGGCTCTACCACGAGGCCAGGGCTCGTCCCAGATGTGGCCAAACCACCATTCGGTGAGTGCGGCTGTAAGAGCCTGAGAGGGACGAAGAAACAGTCCTGGTCGGTTCACTGTTTAGTGGGAGCTGAAAAGATATCAGATTTTGGAGTTGGTCATGAAATTTGGCTTCTCCGTCCGTTTAACATGACACGCTGTGCTGCTGTACTTGTTCTTATTGCGCGAGCATGGGCCGGTGGCTGAAGGTGAGTTTTGATGACTGGCCTGCGCCAGAGCCTCCGAAGAGATCAGACGTGATGCCGTTCCGAGCTGCTGTCGATGGCCCTGGGAGACAGGAATCAATCATTGACTTTAAGAGTTCATTTGTCCGTTTGCCACGCTTTATGCTTTGTTTGAGTTTGGTTTGTTGAAAGTGTCTCAAGAGGGTCGTCCAATAGGACCCCCAGGACGGCCCGGCAATATCTTTTGAGCTGGATTGTCGGCTGCAGTAAGTTTTCCTTCATTGAAATATGGAAACTCTTCATCATCATACCTTCTCAAGCACATGAAGGATATTTGTGAATGCCAACTTATATACTTGTACTTTGAACCAGCAATTGATTTGTGTTGTCACGGTGTGGTGTTCCAAAGGTGGATATGATTTTCACAAAACCATAGATCAACCCAATGGGCGATCTATACATTAATGGCAAAAATACAAGTGTCATCAGGTGTCTAGTATTCCCTCAAAGAAACTAACATATAATATGGTCTAGCTCCACTAATTCCAAATTCGACAAAGCCACTCTGGAACACACCACTCCTTCCCAACGCCTTTCCACTCTAGATCGCATGTTGACACTTCAGCAAAGCTCTTGCGGCAAGGTAGGACGACTAGTTATTTGTCGTATCCAGATCGTTTTGAACCTCGCAGATTGGAAGCCACTGATGGCACCATCCTAAGCCAACATGAAAAAGGTCATACCTCTGCAATACTATCGATAGAGGCCCTCAACACTCTCAATTTGGTCCGGAAAAGGCCAAAACGAGTCAAACACGTCTCTTCATTCCGAACATTGGTTCTTTTCCGCACGCCACAGGCAACTGAGTCGGCACTCGGCACTCAGGATTTGGTTTGCGCCTTCCAGCCGGGATTTTGGGGCTATGACACCTGGGAGCTTTCCGTCCAGCAGGCTCTTGCAGAGGCCCCCTTGTCACTTCGAACAACACCAGAGGAGGGCTCTTTTGTGCACCGAAACGGTGGTCTTTGTGCTGCAGAAAAAGGGTCGAAGCTTCTGTGATGGATGTAGGATTCGCTGATTTCCTTGGCTGTCAAGACATCGACCCCAACAATTAAATGATGATTTTGGCCCACTGATGCCTACTGTAGGCGTTGCGCAAAAAGTGTATGTTCACTCAGCAGGCCTCACCAGATCACCAGGCCTCACCTTTTCGAATGCCTAGGCTTGTGACAAGCTACAATGAAGAGGAGGCCGAGGAAGAGTGACTCGACCGAGCGAGGAGACAGATGCCTTTGTCTTCACTCAGAAATCGATTTCGAAGAAAACTAAGGGAACTGTGCTATGGGGGCCATGTTCATATGATGATGATGATGATGATGATGATGATGATGATGATGATGATGATG